TGCTAAAACACTGAATAAATGTCTGTGACGTGATCCCATTTCGACACGGTTTCATCAGTCGCTCGTGCGTTTGCATGCAGCGAAACTCACAAGTTGTTCCTAAAACGCGCCACGAAAACAAAGACCAAAACACGCGGCGAAACGAGAAAATCGATAGCTGCCTACACGTGGCCGCACGTTTCAGACACCTTCAAACCACAATACCTACGAATGTAGGTATGATACGCGCATTTTAAGTGACAACAAACTGTATTTTATAGATTCTACGAAGACACCATAGAAGAATAAAGGAATAAAAGAATGGAATGAAACATAACGGCGATTTCGGTGAAAATATGAATCGAATGAATCACGCGAGGTGACAAATAGTCTTTTTGAAAGAAATGTGTTGAAACAAAAATCTAGTTCAAACTAATGACTCTCTTTCACGGTGGGAATTACTAAAACAAAAACAGATTTGATCAGTTTTCATTATATTTGTTGATGTAATAAAACTTGTGGATTTCTGTAGTTTTCTGTTTACGCTTTTTTCTAAAGCAATAAACGATTTGCAATGATGGAATTTATCGTATTTTATTTCTCATCGACGTACAAGCGCACTAAAAGCGTTTAAAGCTGCGGATTTATGTTCGCCGGCGCGAAAGTGACAATAAGGTGGGTGTTATAAACGCGCTGCCGCCGCCACAGCCGCCTTCGCGCTATCGCCAGGGGGTGCAAACTTTTTACTTGGAAGATTTCCGATCGTTAACTACCACACGAAAATGTGCAGTGCACTATAAGCACACTAATAAAAAATCAAGCAGAGAGGAGTTGAATAAAAAAAATTAAAACAAACTTCAAACTTTTACAACTTCAACTTAAATCGTTCGAAGTAAAAGAGTTCCTAGTTTTATTCTGAATATAAAATATTTTTAAATCTAACGTTCCGTAGTTGTCTAGTTTTAGCTGGTTAAAGGCTTAATAAGGATTTTTAGTTTCGCCGGAAAAGTTCTGAATCGCCGACGTGCAGACGTCAAAGGATGCAAGTTCAAGAACGTATCCTTTACATTCACGCCGAAAAAAACTCAACTTTTGCTAACTTTGCGCCAGTGATCAACCAACCCGAAAACAAGCTTAAAACACCCAAACACAAACCTGCAATGTCATTACGAAAAGTTATTCATTCATCCAGCACGCAGCCGGAGTGGAAAAAACTTTTAAATTAAATAACATTTTCACAATTTTGACATAAACTTTGCTGTGGCGCGTGAGGTAATTACACGTGAACTGACATGATAAACAATTAAACATTATAACTCGCAAAACTCGCAAACTCAAAAACTCTCCGGTTTTGTCAAACTGGAAAACACTGCGAAGCGGCGCGCATCCTTCATCTTGCATTTCCTGCATTTCGTATCCACCTACGTGGAATGAATAAAATGCGCCAAACTAGCTGAAAACTCACGTAAACGCGTTAACACGAGTCGAATATTCGTGCTGCAAACGCGAAGCGCAGCGGAATAAAATCAAATAAAATGAACAAAATCGCATAATAAAACACGCCGCGCTGCAGACGGAAATGAAACGAATCGGTGTTTATTCGGTTTATTTAATACCGGAACGAGGCCGGGAAGCGTGCGACGACCAATTGCGAATTATGCAATTTATTCGAGTGCTCAATGACGCGACACAATTGATTTCCGCAATTTTCAACTAGTCTCACCATCGTGAAAACATAAGGCAAGTTTCTTGCACTTGTAAACCATAAGGAAACACGAATATTTTTAAACATTTAAAATCTATAATGGAATTATTGATTTTTACGAAACAATTGTACGAACTCTGCAAAACGCTCGGGCACCTAAAGGCGATACATCTAAAATTAGACAAGTAAGCTTTTATTTATTTTTCATCGCTTTGGGGTATTTTTATACCTGGATGTGCGTCGAGGCGCCGCCGTCGTCGCGTTTTTCCAATAAAAGCGTGTTTTATCGGCACGCCGGATCGATTTAATGCCAGCCGACGTAACAAAGTATTTCAGGCTGCATTTAACCTTCCATATCAGCCCTCGATAAACCCAATTGGATTACGAAGGAATATACTTAGTGACAATTTTATTCTTATGTTAGAAATTGAACCAGAATTATACGCGGTCATCAATTGTTCATTCTGCGCTAGATTTTCGTGGTCTTATTAACAATTGATTGAAAACATTTGATATGTTTGAAAATGTATTGGCTTAAATGTCTTCATTATGTCTCCGACGCGTGTGGCATATCAATTATATCGATCGAAGTGTTTTGTATTATTTGTAAACACGAGGCGACGCGATGGCCAATCCGGCAATCGATTTCGTAATTCGATAATTCCGGTCGAGGCGGGCGTTTATCCGTAGCATTGTGCTGAACTGTTGCTCACAACTCTTGGGCAACACAAACATATCAGACTGCGAGAGGCAATCTCGTCGAAATTAACGTTAACATTGAAAATCATCATCGCGGCCTCCATTCCACGCTGCAGTGAATTAAAATATATTGCAGCGTTTAATAATTTCGTTGCGTACGAATCTATAACGTGCTTTTGAACTCAATACAACTTGATGCTGTGGTGTGCTGTTCCGTATGAGTTGCTGGTCGGAGTGCGCGTATATCAATAACGGTTCATGTCGTGATATCATCTCCTTTTCCTCCTGCAATCTATAATTAGGTTTCTATTTATAAGAGATTATAATCCGAAACGCTCGGCGTGCGTTGCGGAGAGCGCCCGCCTACATGCCTGATTGATTTCGAAGATCGATCTTCGGACACCTTCACTTAAACCTATCCACAAGCAAAATATGACCCCAAATATATTCAAGCGTATAACTATGCTCTTTTATCACGGCACAACTAACGTTATTAACATTGAAATTTCTAGGTCAAAATTGCAAAAGAATCCAAATTGAATCGTAAATTCTGCATTGATGTTTTTTTGACGCTTCTCGATCAATTTTGGCTTACCGTATTTTGGACCCTTCTTAGTGACCTCTCTCATCTTCACCCGTTCTCAATTCCAAACTTGTCTAAGGCTTCCTGGATGTCCATTCGAGTGGATTTGTGGATTACATCTTTGAATAACGACCGCCCTGAACGCAAGACCCGGTCGGATTAAATTAAGCCCACTTTATGCCAAAACTTTTTTCATTTCGTGCCTTCCTGAAGCTGGAAGATCGGCTTCGCGCAGATGCAACAGTAACCAAGTAACCAGAAATTGACCCGGACAACATCGGCTTGAACCCCGAAGTGATGCTTCAAGCTGAACGCGGAACTTTTGATCACAGATCACGCACAACCTAATTAAGACGTTTAGCCTACTTGTAGACTACTACCAATTTAGGATCTGATAGTTTACTTTACTAAATCATAATCAGGATAATATAAACAATGTGGTTTTAAATTGTTTAAAAGTTAAAACTGTTTGAAGTTGTGATGTGTGCCGTGTTTTGTTCGGATTCGTGCTGTGTGCTTCCGTTCTATTGTTTGTTAATTATTTTTATATTTCAAAACCGTTACAAAACTGAAATTATGAGCGGGCCGAAACGCGAGCGAATCCACCTAGCAAACAAATAGAATTAATGCATAAAGCGAACAAAAACCAGATCGTATCGTCACCGGCGATAATAGAACTTTATGCCATTGTGCTACGTGACCACGTGTTCAGCACACTTTATTATTTCCTGGTGCTCAAAGCAAAAATCGGTAATTAACTTAATGCGCGTTATAAACACACAAATTACTTTAATTGCACAGCGTAATATTTTCACCCACGCGAAAATTAATATTTCCCATAAGTTTCAATCATAAAAATGAACTGAAACTCGAACGGAAATTTCTGGAACTGAAAATATTCGACGATAAAGTCGTTAAAAAAGTTTTTCATAGTTCGGACGTGAGTTTGTTTACCTACATCATGATGAAATGGGATGCAAAATGAATGAAAAATGGGAAAATACACAAAACACGTAAAATTCAAGAACTAACAACAAGAATGTTTTATTCACGGCGCGTGGGACGTGTGAGAAATTATTTATTACATTTGGGAGGACCGAAATTCACAACCAAACACTCACCCACACATATCCACTCCAAAAATCATGTATGCACAACTAAATATTAAAATAAATTGAATGGTTTGATTTGTAACTTAAGCGCCTCCACCATGTCACGTTCTGTTTCATAACATTTGAACAAATTTTAAATTAGTGCGCATAAAGTACTATAAGGAGTTCTTGCTTTACGAGTTTCACAAAATAGTTTCGTATTTTGCGCTAACAATGGATGCGTGTCAACGTTCGCACTTTTCACTTGAGTCGCATGTGTAACACTACGTTTCGCCTCTTTTTACCACTCGTGCACGAAGAGTGCTTACCGTTGGCGACATGGTAAAGCCCCGATGAATACATCGCCGCACACCGCTTTTCGTTGCATTGTGTGTTTACGCGTAATTCAATGCACGATATGTAAATAGTGCGCGCGGCAGAGTGCGACACATTATGCGATGTGTTAAAAGTATACAAAACATTGTTAAAACGTGAAATATGCGCACGCCACAACATTCACCAGACAAACAACACACATTATCCCACTGTGTGTTTGTGTGTGGTGTGAGGAGTGAGTGCGTATTCCTTTTTTCTATTGTGGTTAAAAGAGGGAAGAATATTATCCGCTCTTTGTCTGTTTGAAGAAAAAGTGGGTTTTCTACGGAAACAAATTATGTATAATGAGCTTCACATTTTCACCAACGCGTGCTTCACCAATCAACCGTCTTTCTTTTATTTCGCTATTTTTACTATTATTATTCTACCATTTCAGCGTCGCTTTTTGCATAATAACTTTTTGCACTTTATTACGGCACATGCGAGCACGAAGCACTATAATTTTCAATTGATATTTCTTTGTTTTATGAAAATAATAAATATCACCGCATTTATCACGCGCAATCAGCAATTTATTTCCATTTTGTTCTCGTTTTCTTGTTTTTAATTTACAGTTTCACTATTTTTGCATTCCCATATTTATTACACAATCGACGCAATATAGCAACCAGCGATGGCGGCGCAATAGATTAATTACTAGTGCTCGCGAAGAGAATGCGAAACTTTTAATTAATGCTCTCAAATTAGTCCACTCATTGGCGCACTTGTTCAGTAAAGTCTGGAAGCAAACTGGAAAGCTCGCATCCGGTGCACTTTTTGCGCTAATTCACTCATTTATTGCTCGCTTGGCTCGCCCATGGACCATAGTTCTTCACTCCTTATAAATCCCGCTAGTAATGTGCACTTGCTGCATGCGCTTTTCCGGCGCCTGGAATTTATACGAAAATAATAAATACGCGTGCTAAACGACCGTATGCCGAACGAACTGCTGGTTTGAATAATGAATATGCACTGGCACGGCGATGGCGTCGGGATGAACTTAATTGAGTGCACAATACTTTGAATAACGAAGCTTTATATACGCCAAAAGAGACAATGGAAACGAGAAAGTGCATTCGCGGGTGTAAACGTCAACTTCACAAACAATTTTTCGTTTTTACATCGTTACAAAGTGAATTTCTTTTTTACAAATCAAAATCCACTTTCAAAAAATTACTTTGTCAAGTATTTTTGTTAAATGAAAGTAAATTATTTGTTAAAATACTTACAGATGTTTTTAAAGCAGTAAAAGGATATTCACACTCACCTGAAACAAACAAAAAAAATATTTACTTTTTAATGGTTGCTTTAAAAAATATTGTAAATTCAATTAATAAATCGATCGTAACAACGTGCGTGACCATTCCGGCAACTTGGATATTTTCGCATTAAAAATTCTGCATATCGATACGCATTATTACAGTGCGCGCGTTGCATTTTTATGAAGCCGTGCATGTTGAGTACGAAATTTTCGCGGCGTGAAATATTTTATGCACTCCTATCAGCGCCACATGCGCGCATAATGCGCGTTTAATCGCCGCTCGCATAAAAATATTACTCCATCAAGCATTATTTACGATAAATACATTTTTCACACAATCTGCGCGACGGCTTGCATGATGCGCAAACCGATCACGTCGTACCGTGGACACAATAGACACGATTTCGAAAGCAGCTTTTTGTGGTTATTAAAAATCGCGCTTTTTATCGCGCGCGCACCATATGCCCACTAACAATTCATTTAATTTCGAACGGCCTAACAGGTTTCGTTTCTTTCAGCGCTTTTGATTCACTTACGCGGCACGACTGCACACGTTGCATTGCGTTAAGTACCATTACACACTCGATTATTAAACAAAAAATTCAATGCTCCGCCGGCGTGGTCGCGTTCGTAATGAAAGCGATAAAAAATATTTTTGTCATCCTGCCGCCGCACCTGATGGCCGACGACGTAGGTTGTTTTCTGCGCTCGAAACTCAATGATAGGTAGGTGCTTCCGCGTCTTTAAATTCGCATTAAATTCAATTCGTTTTCATGACTTTTTCCACGCGCATGCCGCGCTGCGTGGCTTTTTACCGATTCGCTTTCGCGTTTCGAGTGCGAGCTTTGAGCGCATGCGACTCACGGTTTTTATAACGCGCTGAGCGCATCGTGTCGCCCGATACGTAATTGACCGCCGCCTGAGCGGTACCTTTTTTCAATTTAAAACGCTTTTTAAAAACGCCCGACAACAATATCGCTATATGGAAGCGTTTATATGGTTTACAACGCGCTTTCAATAAGGGCCATTCAAACACACACAAAGTGTTTCAATCACGAAACATTAAAGCACTTGAACAGTAATTTCTACACAAAATAACACTTCGTATGGTCAGAAACTACTACTTGGTATAAATCTTTTAAGTGTTGATTATTGCGCATCATTTAAAAGCCGGGTTTGACTGATGTGAGTTCTTTTGGAGTCGAACGGTCGAATGCCTCCAATCAAGACATTTTCATTAGGCGATTTCAACTCACATGCTTACTCTCACCGCCAATACAATAGCACGGGATAACAATGCATGCAGTATACAAAAGTGTATGCTTATAATAACCACACAAATCTCAACAGCACATACATAGTTTTCTTACTCGCTGCAATTGCAAGCCAATTATAAATTTCTGCAACATTGAACTTGACTTTTGACATGCACAAAGTCAGAAGCCATGGTACAACCATAACGTCCATATACTTAGCACAATGAATTACTAGACTCAACAATATGTACCAACACAACACAAAGAAGTAGTATGTGTCATTCAGAGGTAAATGTGATAATTTATACATGTGAGAAATTGTGAAATGAAATGAAGACAATACTGAAATCTTATATTTAAATTATTGCAGAAGATTAAAGCTTGCGAAACTAATACCATACTAATACCAGTACCATGCAATGCTAACAGATAATTGCAGTATACATGCATTTTACTTATCCTGTCATTGCTTCATGTTGTCATTAATGATCAATATTTAGCCATCTTGTGCATTGTTTTAGTTAATTACGCCCGCGTTGACGAGACGCGCAAACAATCGAGACGCACGCATTTATTTGCGATTAATGAAGCGAATACGCTAATGTTGTTTATTTATTGATATTATGTCGATTCAATGCGTTTACAGTCATACGTATGCTTTCATTTAAATATGGTTCACTAAATTATATCATTAGGAAGGTGGGACCCGGACTAGTCATGAGAGTATATAGTATCGAAGAACATTCGTCAGGTGTTGTTTAATATTTTATCATTTCCGGTTGATAGCTGTTCTATTTCTAGTAATTGTCATTGGAATTGCTTTTTATACTTATTTCTAAAACTGGAACAGTTTTTATCATATACATTATTTTTAGTACTTTTATTAATTTATTGTGAGTAAATATATTATTTGCCGATAATTATAATTCACTTGTATCAATATTGTCACTTCGAACCTATAGTATTTTGCCTCATTATCATTATTTGACTAGAGGAAGATACAACCAGTAGCAATGTATTGTTGCAGGTTGTGGATGCGCTCCGACATATTAAACCAGTTTGTGTCAACTCTGTTAGGCTATATTGGGTTATATTAGATTCAATTACGATCGTCCGCTTTTGGCACACGTCCTATCCGCACATCTACGCCGCAAATATGCTCTAGTTTGCTCGTATATTGTGCTTCACTGCTTGTGCAAACACATTGTTTACGCCTTCAACTTTAATTCGCTTCTAAACGTGTTTCACGTATATTATACAGTATAATATTCTGTATATAACTAAATAATTAATTTTTGTTTGGTGTTGCAAAAGTTTAAGTTGAAAATGTAGGCTTTTGTTTGGTATTGGGCAAGTGCGCAACGTAAAACGCAATTTTCTCATTTTATTCGAATCATTTCATCGACAAAGTATTATTTTGCGGCGGCGGTGCGGTTAAGCGAGTGCTGCGGATAACTATTATTATTAAATCTTGTCGATAAAAGGATAAACCAACAAAATTATTGTTTCAAGGTACGTTGTTCCGGTTCTTTGGCTTGTTTCACGTAGATTAATAACTCCAAACAACATAAGTTTGCTTTCTATATATTACAATTATTAGAGAATAAAATAAATATTTTTTATTTTAATATTTTTGTCTTTTTTCTTTGTTTTAATCCAAATCACATAGGAATATGATTTATGAGGAAAGGACTAGATTAGAACTTGTTCGAAGGGTCAAACTACGATATTCTGTGTCCGCCTCTCATGTGTACCAATTATTTTTCACATATCGATTATGACTCTACCAACGAGAGATAAATTTTTATATTTTAGACTTTATATTGGATCCAATGACCATGCCCTCGGGCAATAAGAGCTACCAACCAAAACATAAATCTACATTTGCCTCAACAAGGTTGCTACTTCAGAAAATTTACAACAAAAAACAGAAATATTCAACCAGTGTTTAATATATTTCTGAACTCCCACACACTTTTCTTTGTTTTCTTAATTGAGAAACAATTCTGTATTGAACCACCGACTATATTTTGAGTCAGACCCAAATAAGCAATCTTGATGCCCAGAGTCAAAATGAAAACGCTAATATTCAATTTCATAGCTGCGATACAGAGAGTGCCTGGGATCTTCGTTAATTAATCTCAAATTTCAACGTTGATTATATAAATAATGATGCACACATGCTTGGCAAACGTGTGTGGGTCGATGTAACAGTCGGTGTTCTTCATGGTGTTTGCTTTTGTTAGTTCCAGCACATAAAGAAATACAATAACCGCGATAAACACGAAACGCATTCTCTGGTATCTGGTCTCGTGGTCTCTGGGCGCTGGCTGGTTCTGGTCGTTGGTGTCCTCGCACGCACCGCGCTTTGCAATGCATTAATATTAAATAAAATATAGTATTCCCGGCTGTGCACGCGCAAAGACGCGCCGTTTCGGTATTATTAGTCGATGATAAAGCGAACGGATTTGCATAAATAGTTGAGATAACCAGTTTCCTGCTTTTAAAAGTGACCATTTTCAAAGTACTACTCCGACAGACCTCAACTACAGGATCAACTTTTTCGTTCTAAAAGTGCCGGAGCTTCGCGTGCGTCGCATTACGTATGCAAACGTTTACTTGTACTAGAACTTTGCATAAATATACAGGGCGATTGCAAATTCCGTGGAACGTATTGTATTGTATTGTTAAAAATGCGAGTATTTGTTGTGTGAACCCAAAGCATAATATAGGATCGAGTGTGCAAAGTGCGTTTGCGTTTGCATTTCCTTGGATGGAGCTTAACAGATTTAAGTCGTGCCTTAAAAGGCTTGCGGAAAACGCAAATAACGCAAATTGGATTCGAAGCGGCAATGTGCGAAATGCGTGCAAAAATCACGCATTGCTTTCTGAAGCAAATCTGCGGACGCGCGGAGACAAGAGTAATGCATAAACTCGTCGATTTTGTAACGGTTAATGCTCTATATTGCGCGAGAGTAGAGAATGAAAAATACAAACAAGTTGTACGAGTGCGCACCGCGCCTTAATCCGCGCGCATTAAAAACTGGAATCCATGCATGCGCGATGCACGCGAGCTTAGAATTTAATATCTTTAAGTACGTTGACGAGTGTGCGTCGCGGTCGCGATATTAAATTGCACGTGTTGGCGTGCGCCGCACCAATGGCGATAAAATAGAAGAATATGCGTAATTTATATGCGGACGATTCTCGTGCTGGTGGTTGTGATGGTTTCGTGGCAATGCGGCGACCCTATTTTCACAAAAATTATTCCTGATAAAACGCGTTTTACAACCTCCTTTGAAGGGTATCCGGACAATCCCACTCCTCTAGTGCCCACATGTACGCAAACCCACATTGGTCACCATCGGATCTCATATGTTTTATATCTACAGTTTTTCGTTTGCCTTTTTTGGCTTGCAGCGCCATGCTTCTTGATACAATACGATTTCCTGTCGTAAAAGACCTTTCCGATGGTTTTGGTCTTTCGGTACGCCAAACCCTTGACTGTTGACCGCTTGTGCCAAAATTCCAAACGCTCTTTATTACCTTCCGGTTTCGCAAATTTCAAATCCAGCCACCAGCCGATTTTATTTTAGTGGAAAAGCAAAATAATTTAAATTTATGATTTGCACCACAAAAATATTCAACATTACTGCATCAACCACTTCGTCACTCACTACCTTGATTTATTTTTGTGATTAAATAAATTCAAGATGAAGATAAGGAATCGAATTATAAAAAGTCGATTTTATGTCGGCGCGCATTGTTCGACGGCGCGCAGGGGAAACCCTTTTATGGTTTATTCATTTTCGTTACCTGTTGAAACACATTTCCTTCCCCTTGGGTGATTATGTTCGGACGATGCTACCTGAGCGAATGCTGAATGAAAACGGAGTGCACTCGACCGAATGGGAAACGAAAGTATGTTTTGGAACACACGTTCCATTCCGAGCCATTCCATGTTGGTGTGTTTCAAATTATAATGAAACTAATTAAGTTTAAATTAGTGTGTGAAGTGGAAGGAAGATCGAGACACAGCTACAAATCAACAGGATGTTACAAACAATAATCAAACAAGCACAAAGCAAATATTTAATAATAATAATAAACAATTTTATCACTCAAATAGTGCTAATCTTATAGAAATAATTAAATCAATATTAGATTTAACCATATGTATATAATTACAATTTTTAATAAGGAGATTTAATCATCTTCTATATCAGAGCAAATAAATAATTATTATTCTGATAGAAGCGGGGAGAGTTGGTTGAGGTCTAAAAAACAAATAGGAAGACCCCTTGCTGGGTCGTGCCCCACTTGGAATAGAATTATTTGTGCGCCGCATTCGGGTGCAGACTCAATGCACATTGCGCACACACACGGCGCTCAATCCTTTATGAAATGTATTATTCAATGCCGCGCACCTCGGGAGCCGAGACGGGAGCCGGCGTGTTTCAATCTGGTGAAAGACCCACCAAAAGATACTCCACGCTACTTCGGATGCTCTTCAAGACACTTCAAGATTGAAACAAGCATCGAGTGCTTTTGAGTTTCAGTTTGGTTA